ACACTAGAACCTACTGTTTTGAATATATGTATACAGAAGAATGACTGTTTGTCTGATACAGTGAGAGCAAGGATAGAACAGGTTCACAACTTGCTTGTAGCCGATGCTCTTTACCATCAAACATGTTTATGCTCCTCTAATTTCAGAACTGGAAAAGATATACCAGAAGAATTTTAGGTGCTACCATCTAGTGATAAAAAGTGAAAGATTGGTCGACCAGAAATTACAGAAGCGAGTGACGCTTTGTAAAAGTCATGACATTCTTGTGCTTATGCTTAGCGAAGATATTTTACAAATTAAAATTTGCAAATATTTATTTTTTTACATTTTATGCTCAAATGTATCAAATATTTAAAATTGACCTTCCAAAAGGTCAATGTCACCTCTTTTGACCCAATGTCATGATGTTATATAATGACTCAGAAAAAAAATACAACAGATATGCTTGGAAGTATACAAGTTAATATAAAACTCAATATTATTATCATAGATAATATAGATTTCCTTAATGTTTCTTTATTTTGTATAAAATTACCCCACCCACTAGCTGTACAATGTTAATATAAATATTTCAATATATGCATTAAATATTGATGGAATGTAAATTAAATTCATAAAACGTTTTAACTTGACATTTTTCTCATGTACGTAAACCATTATGTACTTTCTGTTTAATATCATATAACATAAAGCTTTCAATAAATTGTTGATCTACAGCAATGTAAAAATATAATATTACCCCACCCACTTCAGTTAATTAATAAATTTTAGAAAGGTAAAAGTAGTTTCTTTAAACAAAAACAACTTTTTGATTACTTTATGTTACTATAGGGATATATTAAGCTATATTTTTATGCATATTATATATAAAACTGATTGGAAAATTGTATGTGTGTATTACATTGAGTTCAAATTAAAAAAATAAATACAATGATACCCATATATTTGATCTCAATTTTTGAAAACATTCTCCAATTTAGATTTTTCTAGACTTTTGATATGTTATATAATATAGGTCTGGGGTTTCAAAACACTCAAAATATTTTCTGTTGCAATTTGTTTGAGGTTTGGCTCTATTTTGAGCTAGAATGACTGGACTAAAAAACAAACAAAAAATTGGAGGACAACTAAATATTAAGCAAACAGTATGCTATAAATAACACAAATTGAGGTATAATTATTTTTCAACATATACATTTGTGACGTCATGACTTGATGACGTCACGATGGAGAGGGTTATGAATAGTTTAAAATAATGTGAACTACACTGTAGACTAGTATTATTGAATTGAACTTATAAATTGTACAATTGGTGAGTTCGATTTCAATGCCAGCATGTACTAGTGGTACCTTTTTATTTATAAATAACATAGTAGACCTTCTTTCTGAATCTTTTAGATATATATAATTATCTTCAATCAAGATATAAATTATATCAGTTTGAATCATTTTTTTGTTCTTATTGAAATTTGATTGTGTTCAATTGATATTTCAAGCTCTTGTTTACTTGATTTTAAAACCGGAATCAAATATAGAGCATGCACATAACTATCAAATGAACGTTGCTAGGGATGTTTTTGTCGTAAGATTTATCGTAAGTGAATTTTTTATCTTAAGATAAAATTTTAACTTACGAGTGGCTTTGTGAAAATGACTTAAGATTTAACTTACGATTATCGTAAGTGTAAAACTTAAGATAAATCGTAAGATTTTTTGTGAAAATGTCTGCAGGTTTCTACTATTTTTATATGAATAGTATCGTGTTACCATTTTCAAAAATATGAATACTACTAATGTTATACAATATTTGGTATCTGCAATTTTATAAACTTTCCCTGAAAACAAAGTTTGTTCTCCTTAAAAATGCCTTTAAATACACACACTTGTCACACAGCCATGTGTGAAAAAGACTAAAATCTAAAGATAATTTAAAGATATATAAAAAGGAAAAAACAAATATCTAAAGTGTTACCAACAAATCCAAATAATCCGTTGAATATCAATGCTATCCATCTTGCATCCGACTGGCTACTGTTAAATTCATGTCGCATTTCGCTGTACAATATACCAAATGTGAGGGCATTACCTGCAGATAGCATCTGTACAAGAAACCACGCCATCATCACAATTATAGTTTTATACGAATTACACATCATAACGACATGTTATAATGACATACTTTTTAGGGAAAATGTGCGAAATTTAATATACTGATTAAAACATCGTATTGCATAGATTGCAATCAAACCGTTAAAAAATAACAGTTGTTACTTGCATAACCATAATAAATCTCATAAATAGCCTTGTTTTATATTGCAATATGCAAGCTAAATACATAAACATTGCAGAAGCAATTCCAAACATGCTAGGACTTGCGTTCAGCCGGGTATTCGAGATTTATTTTCGTGAAAAACACTCCTTTATCAGCAATATAGCTGGTTCTTCTTTCAAGAAAAAATCTTCCGAATATTGTTCACCCCACAGGAGCTTTCCTCACAGTATCTGGCAATCCATGTACGAGCGCATGTATTTTGTAAAATCTTTACTTTTTAAGTTTTTGGATTTTGATTTTTTCTAAAATTATATTTTTAAGGCAAGCTCTGTCATAGTTGTTAAAGACATGATCAATATATTTAGCTCGTATGAAATATTTGTCTTCTTTTTTGCGAATATTGTTCACCCCGGAGGAACCTTGACACTGCCTTCGATCTTCGTATTTCGATTTTATATACAGGTGATCCAATAAAAACGTGACGAATGACGTGCTGTAGGCGCTCCTTTCTTTTTGAGGTGTTTAGTCGTCTATTTTGTGGCATTAAATTCTCCATTCTGAGGTTTTAGGGTAGGAGGCGTTCGGGTGGAAATGGTTTAATCTTGTCAATAACCTTCTGTTCTGGTGGACTTGTCTTTTGGAGTAGAGGTCATTATCCTGGAAATGGACATTGAAACATTGAGATATTGAAATTCTGTGTGTACAAATGTGTTTTATAATGCACATAAGTTCATTTCAGGCATCTTTCATCTTACTGTAACCCAGTCACGGGTCATTATTCCATTTTCATACATATAGGCTCATTTCATGCATATTCATTGTTATATTGTAACCCAGTCTGGGATATCATTTCCCATTTCACTCGCCATCATCTCTTTCGTTTTTGTGTACTAATATTTTCTAATTTATTGGAGATAACTTTTAAAAATTCAAATTTTACCTCAGTTTTGAGCGTTCTATTTTTTTTCAGGCCTGGCAGTGCTTTGTTTTCTGGGCTGACCCCTAGAGTGTCCCTAGGGCTCGGGCTGGATTTCTTAGTATTGCTATGCTGTTGTAATTTTGGATTTCTAATTCACTTCGTTTTCGATCCTCTTTTAATTATAATAAAACTCCAATAAAATCATTTTACTAACATCCCTAGTGGAAAGTCTGCCTCTCGCTTAAACTCATTTAATTCTATTTAAGTAATAAGATTTCAATTGCTATTTGTTAAGCCCTTAAGGCAAAGTCTTTATAATATAATGTAAATTACCATATTCGTGACATTCTGTTTAACTTTTACATATTTCACTTTTGGATCATTATAATATTAAGTTCTCTTGTATGTGAGGCAGATTTCGGAGCCGCTTTACAGCTCTGTTTGTTATATTTATACATTTATACAATTGTTAAATAAATTTTATGAAAAACAAAAATTTCAAGTCTGCCCCTTAATAAAGGGGCGGACAACTCTTTGTCCCTTTCTCATGAGAGAAGGGGAATCCTGTGATGCGTGTATGTGGTCGCACGGTCACTTTCCTTCCAACATGTCCTCGATGCGTGTATGTGGTCGCACGGTCGAAAATAAATCACTAACTAAATGAGATTTTGATATTTATGTTACATATAATATATGCCTAATGTCTTACTTACTCTTAATAAGGAGTTTGATACTTTTAAGAGTTTTAAGAGTTTGTTAATCCTAAACAGTAAAACAAGAACTAGTTATAACTTATTTGCTCCAAGATACGATTAGTAGGACTTTAAAATCCTAATAGGAAAAAAATAATCACGACTTACTGAGCATTTTTTTTCTTCAAAAAAACATGCAAGTCATTAACAGCAATAATAAGACAATTAGAACTGTAAGTATTAAGTAGGAGTTCTTCTTAGCAGCGCAAAGGGCGTAAGTCATAAAGAAATAAACACATTATTATGAGTTTCTCCTATTAAATCATTGAATGGATTTTTTAAAAAGAACTATCTATTTAGGATAACTAATTAGGAATGTGTACAATCCAGTAAGCACTAACTTACACCAAAACAAAGTGGCCAGACACAGTTTCGTGCATTTTACCTTTTCTTATCATGAAATGGTTATTGAGGGCGATTATGCGTTGACTAAAAAGCAGGCATCACACAGATAAGTTAACACTTCTAACTTCCTCTCGCAGAAGATTTACGGCTTGGCGGATAATATACTTAAATAACCTAGCCCGTTTTCGGGACTGTTACTTCAACTGGGGACCAGCCGTCAGTGTCCTGACTAAAGCCGAGTGGAGTGGCCCTACGATGGTGTGCTAGCATGCGTAAGCCCATAGCTTGTAAGGCAGGTCCTTTGTTTGACATCAACATCCCTTTAAAGGGCTACCTCTGTCATTTTTGTCTCAGGTTATTGTACATTTAGACTTTCAATAACCGCCGCACAATGACCTCCTTTTGGCTCAAAATTCATATTGTTGGCTAATACTCAGTGGAAAATGCATGGACATAAATTATCACCACTTTGTGCTTCAAAATTAACTCTTTAAGGGCATAACTGGTGATATGTGCGGGTTCCGTACTCGACAGCGAAAGCTGCTCGGGCGGATGGACCCACATAGACTACATACATAAATACCGACAAGTTGTCAAAAGGCAGTGACACTGACACTGTAGTAGTCATATGGGGATATCCCGAAAGCTGTCAGTTTTTAACTTGCTCAAATATTTTATAATATGGGGAAAATAGTAAAAACAAACCCGATAGTATCCGCAGTCAATGGACAGTATGTTAATAGCAGTAGAATTGACATTATTTGAGTAACAAGAATATAACAACCAAGTTAATAATATACAAGCAGTAATCAGCAAATTTCAGATTTCAGTCATCACTTCAGCAACCTGTCGTCACTTTTACCTGTATTACAGTGCGGTAAGGTCAACACTTATGTATGTTGAATTACATAGACATTACCTTTCCAATGTTTACAGATTTATGTAAATTGGCTAACGTGTTATCCATTTGCTTCACTGAGATAATACATAGTCACTGGTTGACCTTGTTTGCACAAAAGAACACATGGTTCTGTTTGTGATACTGTTTGTGAGCAGTTGACCTAGCAATGAATGGAAAAGGTGTGGCTAAATCATCCGCTATGAAAAACCGGAAAGGTTCACATTTCTGTTGAAAATCGACTATGAGACTGTGAAAACAACCTTATTTTTCCATTTTATAAATTGATGTAATTTATTGCACTTGCAGGTAAAGTATAGTTTCCAATGATTCAATAATTAATTAAACTTTTGGTAACTTCGTCTTTAGTTCGTCTTTAAGGCTTTCTTAAGGCCTTAAAGTGTCCAGCCTCATATTAGCTTAATCCGTGGAAACACAAAGAGAACGGTTTGAGATGGTTAAGCGATCTATGCGATAATTTTGTGAATATATTGAGAGAAATTTAGTCGCACGAATTTTTTTCGACATGTTGAAAATTGAAGCGACAAAAAAACGAAATCTTGCGACTTGTGCGTAAAGGTTAAGTGCTTTCGGTACGTTTTTGGAACTATCTCGCGAATGCCGTTCGCAAGTTTGTCGCTCACATTCGCAGCAACACAACGATTTTAATAAATATAGAATATTTCCGATTGTTTCTCTTGTTTAAAGGAAAACTGTCATCAATCTGTTCTATATTCCGTTCGTTATGAAATGTTAGATTAACCTTAAAGGCACATTATGTCCAGAAAAAATCGCCTTCTTTAGAAAGTGTAAACATGCGTTTTTAACGTTAAAATGATAGTTTAGGAGCATGATAGTAGCACTGAATGTGAAATTATTTGTCACAAGAGTAGCGTAGTATACAATGTAGTGTTTTGAGGTAATTGGTCAATGAGTAACGTTTTATAAACAATAACAAAACAACAGAACTGAAAAGCATACGAGAGAAAAAAATCTGAGGCATATTGAACCTTTAAAACACCTGATTAGAATATTTTCGAAAACCCAATGTGTCAAGGTATAGTTTTTTTTAAATTATCATATAAATTCAATCGTGAAAAGAACCAATCAAAAAGGATAATATGTTCAATACGAATTCGTGTAATGATAAATGTTTGTTTTACAATTATTATATAAATTTGGAATTCAGTACAAACAAAATACAATGTACATGAAATCGTTTCACTATTCTCCGACCATAAACCGTCTTATTTTCTTCACTCTCTCAGTTTTAGGGACTTCCCCAGATATCCATGCCCCTTTCATAGCGTACTTTGAAGCTGGTGGCTTCTTTCCATACACCTCGGCCACCTCACGTATCAAACTAGGATAATTTCCACAGCATAGACCAATATATTGAACACCAAGAGTTTTGGCCTCTTCAGCAAACTTTCGAATGTCCTCCCGTGAATTTCGGGCTTGATCTAAATTGTGAGGGTATAAGTATTTTCCTGTAATAAGAGTGGGAGAAATATGTAATGTAAGAATATATTGGGTATCAAAATATAAAGTTCCATGATATGTATGAACACATCCGTAAATGTCTATAAATTCCTACTGCAGTTTGAACAATTTTATCAATGAATTCTACTTGAGACGTACTATTGGGAAAGACAGTAGATCAGGGTAAATCAATTACAGACTGGCACATGTATGTAACATTATCATAAAAATTTGGATGGGTGACTTTCAGTGATTATGTTTTCACTATTTCATATGATTTAAACTTGATATTGAGTTTTATTCATATTGAGTTATTCAAATCTGGGCGTTACCCTACACATGTCCTTTTGGTATTGAAGGTTCCCATAACTTTTCGTTGAATTTCATCTAGTAGTTGCAGAGAAGTAGTGCGGAAACGCTTATTGCTCTATATGCATACTGCATTACTATAATCGAGGGCCATAACTTGTGAGGTAAAGGGTCTGACCGGAAGAAGGCGACGATATGCGCATCTCCTCTTGGTATTGAAGGTTCCCAAAAAGTTTCGTTAAATTCCAGGCAGTAGTTGCAAAGAGGTAACGCGGAAATAATTATAGCACTTTATGCATACTGCATAACTAATCAAGGGCCATAACTCTGAGTTGAAGGGTCTGACGATATGTTCATCTCCTCTTGGTATTGAAGGTTTTCATAAAGTTACGTTGAATTCCGGCCAGAGAACTAGCGCGGAAACGAAATTCGGACACACAGATGGACGGGCGGATGGACGGAGGGACAACACCAAAACAATATCCCCCTCCAGATTCCATCGGAGGGGGATAAAAATTTCGAACCCTCGGATAATTCGAGTCACGGAAAACTCAAACTTATTAGCGTAAAACCCATGCATTTAAATCGTCGATGTTCGACTTTATATGCCATTGAAAATGGAGGATAAGTATAAGGTGGTCCCTGTCTCCACTAACCTTTTCCCCGACTATTGTTTATTAAAATGCAAAAGATCTACACTTCATTTGTGTCCGAAATTGAATGTGTTGAGGCAAGTATTAAAAGTTATCTGTAGGCTAGATTTGTAATATCCTTTTAATAACAACCAATGTGTTAGAGAAAATACTAATTTCTAATGTATCTACAATACATACATTTCAATGGAAATGATGCACATTCAAAACATAATTGTCTTATTCATTTGTTGACATCACTTACCTGTATTCTGGTCTTTTAGAGCATAGAAAGTTTTCTCGTTGTCTGTGGTTTTGTATGGCACAGGTATTGCGGCTAAAGGGCCCTGTATATTGGCAAAATTTCCTCGTTTAATTTGAGCTTATGACAATGAAAATTTAGCTTTACAGTACCTTTAAGTTTAAACTTTTCTTTGAGTCAGAATATATATCTGTATTTTATATATATTAGTACTGTTATCAATGTTTAAAATATAGTTAGGCATAAAAATGTGTGTAGATTTCAAGTCCAGGAAATAAAAGTTATTTACACGCTTTCAGAAATTTATGACAAACTTTCCTTAAAATTTAATGTAACGTTTAGATCAAACCCTATAAAGTTCGTTATATTTGAGTAAAATATACATACCCGAGTCAAAAATATTCCACAATGTTTTGTAGAGAGAAAAAAGTCAATATATACCTTGCAAACTTCCCTGACTTTTTTAAGAAGTGACATCATCATATCTGGACCACGTGAGCAATTTAAACCAACCACAGCTGCGCCCTGATCTTCCAGACGCTTGAGTGCTTCAGGGATAGGAATATCATCCGTTGTATAGTCCGGAATATGTGCCGCCATTGTGATCACCGCTGGACAACCTGAAGTCACATGGTACGTTTATAAAAATCGCTAAAATTGCACATAATTATGCATGTAGAAGTTTTATGGCATGTCATGGAATGACACGAAAATGTCACATCGAAGGTTCCGTAATCACCTCCATACGAACACATCTGCGGATATATCTAGATTCAAAATGTCGCCGTTTTTGTGTTTAAATGTTGAATTCTGCTAAAGCTGGTGCTATGTGTAACTTGCACTTCCAGTACTGCCCGAGCCTGCGACATTTTCAATATTGTCGTTCTGAGCGTTCTTTAGGGATTCTGTTTCTCTCTACTTTATCAATCAACCATCTAAATATGGGAAATGGCAACATTTTTGTATGGGTCATATATAAATTATCTTCAGATACAACAGCAACAACAGTAACAACAACAACATTATTAATGTCATCACCATATTCGTCACATTTACATTCACAAAATCAAAATCACTATCATCATTATCTCATAACGCGAAGCTCAATAGGAAAAAAATATTGGAATTGTGACCCAGGTGGCGCAGGTTTGATTTTCGGACTAATAGACATTTCTCATTGACAATAAGGGTTTAATGGTGATTTGCCTCTCACCACTGATTCAGTAATTGGTCACTTGCGGATCTCTATTACAATGCATACATGTACATTATTGCTATTTAATTATACAAAATGTATCAATGCGAGATATGTCTAATGCCTGTTATATATGCCGCTATAGTTTATTATGTAAATATGTTATAGCTAATATTGTCATGTTATTAATGAACTGAGTATGAAATAAACTTGTAAACTTGAGAAATTGGTTTGTTTTCCAGGAAATAAATAATTAGGTTCACCGACCACAGAAATTTTGTCAAAAAAAGTGTTGAATGGGCGTAAAAGCAAACAAACAAGCAAGCAAACAAACAAAAACTATTGCATGATGATACGCGACTTTTCCACACACCAAACATGTTTCTAAGTAAATACAATAAATACCATTTCCATATTCCTTTATAGCCCTCAAGGCGAGTTCTGCTTCACCAAAAGCATCGAATGTTTCCCCGATTATGTAATCTACGCCTCCCTCAACACACCAAATCACTTGCTCCTAAAATTATACAGTACAATACAAAATGTAACTTTAAAATGTTATTGAAATAGGTTCATTTTTTTACAATTTTGTCGAATTTAAGCTGAAAGCATCAGTTAATAAATGTGTAAAACAATTTCGTCGACTTAAAAACTATACATTCTATAGTTTCATTAACCCTATAAACAGTATTGTTGTAAATCTCATTAAATATTGTTCAAATGAAAACATCGACTTCTACTTTTAAATTTTTGAACTCATTGATTTTCTATTGATGTGCGGATAACCCAAAGGCAGGGTTTCTCATGCAGACAGAAATTGTTCCTTCGATTTCACCACAATAAGGTTGCAGAATTTAAGGCATATTAAACTCATTATCAAACAGTTGTCTTGACACCAAAATAAGAACGGGACTCGATATGAAACACATTTAATTAACAAAATGTACCTATTTCCTTTTTTAGTAAAGTAATTTTCAAAATGCAGCTTTAATAATATGTAAAGAATATAAAACATATCGGTACAAACTTGAATTACTAAAGGCTTCTATTTAACTAAGGGTAACTGATATACAGTCTAAAGATTGCTGTGAAGCTCTGATTTCTTGTCAAATCGCTATTATAGTTCTCTAATGTAGCTACATTATATAACAGTATTTTACTAATCTCATGTGTCGTTACCTTGAACATTTCATATATTTTTTGATGACTGTCCTTGTCGTCTTTAGAGTATAAAGGTGTGTTAGACAGCCCTCCTGCCAACAGTTTACCGTACTTGTTAGCAACTCTCCGTGCAATACTAAGGGCATCCCTGTTAAGCTTTTCGAGTTCGTCTTCGCGTCCTTGCATCTTCATGTACTCACGATGACCAAAATACTGCCAATGTATAAATATATAAACTAGCAACAAAAAGCACGGGATACTTACAAAATAGACGTCTTCTTGCATCGTCCATGGGAATGCCTAAATCTAACAATTTCTGTCTATTATACACTGTACTAAATAACGTTTGTTACGTCTATCATGGTAATACTACACCTGGTGCATATCCATATAGTTAGCTACTAAATGCGAAATCTACTGAGACGGTACCTTCTTTACACTTTCTAGTGTGGCGTTGTATACTTGTTTTTAACATTACAAACCTAATTCTATCAGTCGAACATTCTCTGGATTAGTGTCCGTCGCCGATTTGTTTTCAAAAGCGAATCACCTTTGCATGTGAAAAGAGAGTACCGTTTAAGTAGAATTCGCAAAGAGGGTACCAATATAGATGTGTACCATGTTACATGTGCCCAAGAAAAGTAGGTCTAAGACTATCTGAGACGCAATAAAGAAAAAAATCAAACTTATTGAGCTGTTTAAATAGTTTAATGTATTTTTAGTTACGTCTTACTATTACATAGACACGTTACGTGTGATACAGATAAATTAAATGATATTATTGAACATGTCTAGCTAAGACTGGGATAGACAAACCTAATTCTTCTTTCAACTAAATTTTGTAGAAACATTTAAAGATTATGAAAACGTATTTACAGTAAATGCTTCAATGACGTCACTTCCCGCAAGTGCAAACTCTTCATGCAGCGTTTCGACTTCATCCGGTTTTTCTAGAACAACAACCGGAACTTGAGAGCCGAACTGTGCAAAGCCACGTCTTTCGATTTCCCAAAGGTATCCTTCCGCTATAACAATTGTTTCGCCGTCTTTTAGGCGTTCTAGAAGTCCTTTGGAATAAAAACTCAATAAATTATAGGTCTGAGAGACCAAAAACATTTAAGAGTACATGTATATAATATTTGGTACATTTAAATTGGGATAACCTGCCATAGTGTTAAACAATACATGTATTTAGCACGACTTTGTGATTTTATTTGAGATTGCCAACTAGCTGTATTACTTAAATTAAATGACATCAACCTTTTGATATTCTGTTTCGGAACTGACAAATAAAACAATCGAAAGAATTAAGGGTCATATATTTAGGTTCAGACCCTTTGTTTAACATCTTCTATGACAGTTCTGTCTGAAGTCATTGGCCTTACATCTGTTTTACTTACGTACGTACGTACAAAAGACAGAAAGAAAGAAAGAAATTAAGAAAGAGAGAAATTAATGGGACATGCTAAATATCTATACTTACACATTTGGTTGAAAAGATTGATCTTCAATCTTACACTACCTTTATTGCAAAGATCGGAAGTAACACGTGATTGTAAGCGCAAGACCGGGTGCACATTGCATTGTGCAGGCTCGCAAGACAAGATACAGGGAAATCGTGTATCTACTGTGTAATTATACAAAATTATCAGAATCTTGTCTGTCTTTCTATTAACGTTTTGGTGTACATCCTATTCAAATTATTCGAATTAAATAATAGAATTATACTAAAGTAACCCACCTTTCATAGCTGAACTGCTCTGCGATTTAACTTTGATTGTTTATCCCTTTCCAAAGTCTTCTTCTGAATTAAATAGTGATGTTTCTTTTTTGGTATACCAAACATTTATCAATTACAATTTTTATATATTTAATGTGTACAAATTAATGCGCGAGGGCTTCCGAACCTTATATACATTTGAATGATGTGTATACTCACACCAAAACTTGAATGACCTTCAAGTGCTTAATATAGAAACATCAGTACGGGACACAATCTAGAACAATGCAATACATTTGAAGTATAAGTTTATCTGCATGTTAACAAATAGGACAAGATACAATTTATTTATGTATTAAACAAATGATGAAACTAAACTTTATGATGTAATTAAACAGTTTGTCATCATGTGACGTCAGCAAAACAGGACAGTTTCAAAAATTGTTTAACTCGAATGCTCTTCTATGGGCTGTTCAAATCATTAGTTATACGTCAATACTCATATAACCAATTTATAGCCAATTTAATATAATAACCAAATATGTTTAAATGCATGAAAAACGTTACGTTTCATTCATCTCAGTACAATGAAAACGCTAGGTAATTTAACTCCATTTTCGAATGAGTACATAACATACGTTAAAGTGATTACGTGACGTCATATTGCCGGTGACAATAAATAAGACTTCTAAATCATTAATAGTACCGAGACGTGTTGTTAAATGTGTGACCATCAAAGTGTTTACATTTAACCTTTTGTATGTCATATGAAAAATTAACGTTTGCTCTTTAAAACTTATTATTTCTCACCAAATATAAGCTATGTATTTGATAGGCTAAACAAATGTAGTCTTTTCTTTATGAAATGTAATCTTTATCTAAAAATTTATCTCAATTGTCATCTAGTACAAGGAGGGCCTTTTTCATAAAATAGTGCATGTACTGTAAATCGGAACTCCTTGTGTTTGAAATATTTAGTCAATACTGTACAGTAAGGTTGTATTTGATTTTGAATTGTAGTTTAAGATTACAGACAGACCAACATCAAGTCGTTTTGACGGTTTTTCGCTTGCTGAAAAAATGACAAGCCAATATCACGTGTTTTTTCGTAGGTCGCGTGGCGCGTTGTCAATAGCAACAAGAACATGATAACTACCAACCTTGGTCGGTTAGTACTACATATGTTCATGATTGATAAACTTTAGATGAAAATGCTCATTAAATAAATGGCCAATAATTGAATTATGAATGATTTTCATTTTAAATATCATTCTATTAATTAAATTTGATAATTTAATATATGTTTTTGACATAATATTCTTTATTCTAGCCATTCTTTAATTCGTGAAATATTAACATCACCAAATCACCAGAGTTTACATCATTATTATTATCGTCGCTCTGCTAAATTTACACGTCATCTTTTAACATGACACGTATTTCGGATGGTTGATTTTAGATATAAATACCGGGAGCTCCGTACTTGTTTAGCTATCTTCTACCCAGGCAATCTGATAAATCTTCATACTAATGGCTACTAACAGTAAGTTAACAAAAGTTCTTTTAACATTTTTAGCTGTTCAGGATAAGAAAATGAATTGACTTTATTACATGTATTATAAAGGTCAAAAGGTATATGTATAGATACTAGACTGGTCGTATGCAAATAAAATATATGTTGAATATATCAAATAGTGTTGATATGAGATAAAATATATTTCTCTATACATTTTTGTATATGTTTGTAGGTGTTTATGTACATACGTTCTTGGGTAACATCGGTAAATATAGGACATATAAATACAATTTTAGTCCGGTATATCATGTTTTTAAATAACATATAAAACTAAAACGTCGTAAAAATATAAGTTCGTCTGCACCCAGAGTGGAGCAGTATGTTTAAGCGCAATGTTTAATAGTTAACGATGTTTAAATGATGATAACCTTATTTGTCTATTCCAGTTAGTTTTTAGCTCACCTGAGCATATGCACAGGGTGAGCTATTATAGGATCACTCTTCGTCCGTCGTCTGTCGTCCGTCGTCCGTCGTACGTTGTCCGTTCACACTTTTCAAACGACATCTCCTCTGAATCCATAAGGCAGATCATAATGAAACTTCACAGGGATGTTCCTTGTGTGAAGCCTTAACAAAGTTGTTCAAAGAATTCCATTCCATGCAGAACTCTGGTTGCCATGACAACCAAAAGAAAAAACTTTAAACATCTTCTTCTAAAAACCCCAAAGAGCTAGAGCTTAGATATTTGGCATGAAACATCTTCTTATGAGTGTCTACCAAGATTGTTCAAATAAAATCCCTGGGATCAAAATTGGCCCCGCCCCAGGGGGTCATTGATTTTCCCTATATGCATATAGTAAAAACTTAAAGAAATCTTCTTTTAAAGAACCCAAAGAGCTAGAGCTAAGATATTAAGCATGAAACATCTTCTCATGAGTGTCTACCAAGATTGTTCAAATAAAAACCCTGGGGTCAAAATTGGCCCCGCCCCAGGGGGTCATCGATTTCCCCTTTATGCATATTGTAAAAACTTAAAAAATCTTCTTCTAAAAAATCCAAAGAGCTAGAGCTTAGATATTTGGCATGAAACATGTTCTAATGGATGTCTACCAAGTTTGTTCAAATAAAAGCCATGGGGTCAAAATTGGCCCCGCCCCAGGGGATCATTGATTTTCCCTATATGCATATAGTAAAAACTTAAAAAAAAATTCTTTTAAAGAACCCAAAAAGCTAGAGCTAAGATATTTAGCATGAAACATCTTCTAATGGGTGTCTATCAAGTGTGTTCAAATAAAAGCCCTGGGGTCAAAATTGGCCCCGCCCCAGGGGGTCATTGATTTTCCCTAGATGCATATAGTAAAAACATAAAAAAATCTTCTTTTAAAGAACCCAAAAAGCTAGAGCTAAGATATTAAGCACGAAACATCTTCTAATGAGTGTCTACCAAGATTGTTCAAATAAAAGCCCTGGGGTCAAAATTGGCCCCGCCCCAGGGGGTCATTGATTTTCTCTATATGCATATAGTAAAAACTTAAACAATTTTCTTTTAAAGAACCCAAAGAGCTAGAGCTAAGATATTTAGCATGAAACATCTTCTAATGGGTGTCTACCAAGTTTGTGCAAATAAAAGCCCTGGGGTCAAAATTGGCCCCGCCCCAGGGGGTCATTGATTTTCCCTATATGCATATAGTAAAACCTTTAAAAAATCTTCTTTTAAAGAACCCAAAGAGCTAGAGCTAAGATATTTAGCATGAAACATCTTCTAATGGGTTTCTACCAAGTTTGTTCAAATAAAAGCCCTGAGGTCAAAATTGGCCCCGCCCCAGGGGGTCATTGATTTTCCCTATATGCATATAGTAAAAACTTAATAATCTTCTTCTAAAAAACCCAAAGAGCTAGAGCTTAGATATTTGGCATGAAACATATTCTAATGGATGTCTACCAAGTTTGTTCTAATAAAAGCCCTGGGGTCAAAATTGGCCCCGCCCGGGCTGACATTGATTTTCCTTATATGTGTATAGCAAAAACTTAAAAGTCTTCTTTGAAAAACTTGAATAGCTAAGCATGAAACATTTTCTAGTAAGTGTCTACAAAGATTGTTGAAATAAAAGCCCTTGGGTCAAAACTGGCCCTGCCCCAGGTGTGTCATTGTTTTTAACTATATGTGTAAAGAAAAAAACTTGACCAGCTAGACCTTAGATGTTAAGCATGAAATATCTTCTAATGGGTGTCTACCAAGTTTGTTCAAAGTTTGTTTGTGGGGTTTAAACTGGCCCCGCTCCGGGGGCCTATATACAGGTGAGCGACTTCAGGGCCATCATGGCCCTCTTGTTTTTATGTCACACAGGTTTTTTCGTTCTTGTCGTCTAAGTAAATATGATAAATATTCCACCATATGTATTAATGTACAAAGTCATGTGCTTTTTCAAATGGCAGCAGGATATTTTTTTAAACAGGCATCGGACTTCTAAAATTTAGTGGTGCGTAACCGCTAAGTGGATTTTTAAAAAGCCTACAATTTACAAATTATTTACTGCCGTTGAGGGTAACTGGTGTTTGTTTTTTTCTGTTTGCTTATACTCGTCTAATGAAAAGTTGTAGATGAAGTAACGTAATTGAGTATAGGTTAAAGTTTATTAGTACGTATTTACAAAGTTAAATTGGTCAGGCACGGCACAGCCGCGCGACAAATTTAATTTTGTAAATACGTACCATTTTAGCTAGTGTTTTAAATTATTTTTATAAACAGTCGATTTACGAGAAGTAAATGTGTTACGATTAATTTGAAATACTGTAATCCTATTGGGCAAAAAATAATTTCAAACATATTACGGGCCTGTGCCGTGAAATCGTTTCATATTTTTATATTTTACTTGACTTCATGTGAAGAGAATTGCGTGTAACTCTATATTTTTTAGTGAGCCACGTTCAGTAGACCATGTAGACAAGAAATGTTTGAATCTTATTATTGTTAAGCCTTAATTAATCATTACATTGTTTTTTTGCAAGAACTACTTGATCGTTTGAAGGACGGCGGAAGTATTGTTATTGCGGAAGGATATGTTTGGGAGCTGGAAAGACGAGGTTTTGTTAAGATTGGAAGTCAGATACCGGAAGTGGTATTAGAGAAACCAGACGAAGTAGAACTTCTCCATGAAGAGTTTTGTCTGGCCGGAAGTGACGTTGTCGAAGCCTTTACAGTATAGTTTAATATTGTTTAATAATCTAAACATCTTAAATAAAAAAAGATAATTTACGTATAAAAGTATATGTTTCAAAACACGTTTGTCATGTTTAATAGTTCTTTATTGGAACGACGCCTTTACAATTTGATTTGATATGATATGCATGTAGTAAAGCAGTTTCTCAAAGCGCGCTCTATGAAAAATTTACAAAAAGTTATGAATTAGAATTTAATCTAAAAAAAAGCCATCAGGAACTCGAAAATAAACCGGAAGAAGATATAAAATTTTAAAACACCACAGTACCACACTAAGGTGCTTTATTTAAACATGCTTGCTTTACCGAAATGCTTAACTCCAATAACTTCTGTACATCTCAAAGCAAAGGAACAGTACAAATTACCTTAGGAATTAGTTCATGATCAATTACAACGAAATTCACCTGCACTTTCCGGGAATCGAACTAGCGCCATTCGATTCACAGTCCAACGCTCTTTACCTATTTAACAAACCGGAAGGTGGCTTACAACAAAGTCATATAATTATACATGTATTCGTTAGCAGTCACATGTAATCTAAATATCCTCTTCATCATTTCAGTATTATGCCCACCGTGCATATATGCGAAGGTTTGGTCGCGAAGGAGATCTCGAAAGGTTGAACAGAAATGCAATGAAAATTGCGAGAAAAGTTGCAAGCAGGCATAATAAACTTGTCGCAGGAGGACTTTCAAATACACCCTTATACAAGAAAAATGACACGGAAAGTCACAAGGAAATATATGAAATGTTCAAGGTATAACTTATATTATGACATAGAAATACTTTTATTGGCTTATAAGCCCATAATGACATACAATGTTACATTGGTAATGGTAAGTTTAAAAATCGTACTCTGTAAAATCAAATCGAGCTACAACAATGGAAATGGAGGGTCTTTCAAAAAAGTTCTATTTGAAAGACCCCGGAGAATGCGACTGAAAAACCAATACATTATAAAGATTAATAATTTTTGTCAGTAAACTGACTGATTTGCAAATAAAATCAAGGGAAACAACCTGTAACTTACTAAAAAATTTAAGCAGTATACAGTGCTCTCCCTTAGATATCAATTTTTACGCCAATTGCATGTTACAGGAACAGGTGACATGGTTTGTTGAAGAAGGGGCTGACTATATAATAGGAGAGACGTTTGATTCTCTAGGTGAAGCCGAAATAGCACTCAAAGTAATCAAAGAACATGGAAAAGGTTGAACATTATGAAAATACTATTGATATATGTTAAAACATGTTATGTATGTCATTGTATTTTATTTTGTAAAAATGGCTCTTAATTTTAAATCATCCTGATAATGTAGACGAATGAACTTAGAGGATACACTCAGTAATAAAGATCATTGGCAGGTAATAAACGCTTGATTGCATATATATTACCCGGGCTATACTTGGCGAGGGATATATGGCAAACAACTGAATTTTTATAGTGAATATATGATACTGCAAATTCCTTTTACTTGAGTAAAAAAGAATTAAATTGAAAGCAGTCGTGTGTATGAATACAAACTTCACGATTATCCAATGAAAAGCAAGGTTACAACCGAGCAGTATTATAAATTTTGAATTAACGTTACGATTATCCGATGAAAAGCGAAGTTATATTATAAACATTGTATAAAACTGTAAAAACATGTCTTCACGTGAATAACCGTCTTTAATATCATGATTTGAGTCAACACACATGATGTGACCCCTGATGTGGCATATCTTTCAAAACAAATATCAAAAATGAATGACTTTTGCTATTATGGACAGGGAGAATTTTTACATGTAAGGTATAATTTGTGTCTTTGCGTTTGTTTACCCTAGCCACCGGAAAGAGACCCTATGGGAGAGCAAATAAGGTGTAATTAACTGTTTGTATAATTAAAAGGTTGTCCGGCAGTGATTACAATGGCGGCATATTTCCCTGACCAAACAACAGACAACGTTCCGTTCCCAGAAGCGTTAAAGCGCCTAGAAGATCAGGGCGCCGCTGTGGTTGGTCTAAATTGTTCACGTGGACCCGAAACTATGCTTCCGCTTCTAAAAGAAGTTAGAAAAGTTTGTAAGGTAATTCAATTGTACCTTGATTGTAATTCGTTTTAGGTAAGGTATTCTTGTTTCTACAAAAAAAAATTGAAATGAATGACTAACCACATTATAGCACATGTAATCAAAGCGGTAATCTTTCAGAAACCATTATGACATAATAATCTTCTTAAAAGTGAAACACTTTTATACATTTTACTTGCAACTGGATAACGGGTGTATGTCGAAATCTTAAACATTGATATATCGTTTGAAAAACACACATCAATTTATCACTGCTGTATTACAATTTTATATTTGGCTCCCTATCTCACACAATTTCTTATGTCGATGATAAAATTGCAAAAGATAGCAAGACCCTCAATAATTTGTTTCCTATATCTAGGGACCACTTGCTGCACTTCCGGTCCCGTATAGAACAACAGAGAAAGAGAAAACATTCTACGCTTTAACAGATCCTGTAACAGGTACGCTTAGGTTTTTATTATACTTTTTTCATACTCAGATATACACATACACAAAAATTAACAGCATGGCGTCTCGTGATAAAGAATACTCATATGCAGGTGAATATTGCTGCAAGGGGCTATTTGACCGCTGTAGTGATGGATTGCTCAACTTTATCTTTACCATCATCAAAATCTCTAGATTTAAACATTTTTGCATTCTTTTCCTTTTGTTTCTGTATAAGATAAAATAAGCTTTTATGGCATAGCCGGTATTCGAGCAAAGGACCCTCGGACCTCCGTTCCACAGCTCGATAGGCTGAGCTGCCTTAACGCTAAAACATTTTCTCCCCTTATAGTAAACGTGACGAACTCATTAATATTTCTAAAGGGGCAGTTTGAAACGATGGAACACATAAATGGAACTGCAAAATTGTGCTTAACGCAGGTTTGTCATTAGTAGCAAAGATACAGTGTACTAAAATTGGTATCTTTTTGCGACGGACGCGCCCTCAGGCGCGTTCAGAGCTAAGTCATCTACACATGGGATTTCGTCGGCTACAATCGCGCAAAGTGTCCTCAACCGATTAACAGCCCAAGAAATAGTACATGAATTTGATCCTTCAAAACTCCCATACTTTGTCGAGATATCTTAAAATCTTCCATATTTAGCCTTTTCAATTTCAAATTAAGTTATCCAAGTTAAAATATGAACGTATATGATTGATAAAAACGTTGTAGTCCCATAGTATTATTGCGCAATATGCAAATTACTGCCGAAACGATTTACTGCTGTCGAAAAAGTAGGGCAGCAAATTATACTATAATAAAGGTGTAAGCTCTGAGTTCCAAGAAATTATTAGTAGGAAATAAATATTTCTACATTATACAAAACATTATTATTAACAAATCAAAAGTTTTTCGTGACTCTAGGATAACTCGCGCATTAATAAAAGAAGAACTATTGTCGTGACTCATACCGCGGGTTTAGCTGAATATTCAGCAGTTATTAATAAATTAGATACAGTACAATGGTTAGTATAAATATCTATTCTTGAAAATGCATGTAAGAAGAGAGTTTTTCAACACTTTACCACCATGTAGTCTTTCATGGTAAGGAAGTTATAATATCAGTTCTACTTCCGATTCTTGTGGTTTGTTTACATATTTTTCTAGGTCACGATATGAGTTAACCTTCGCTATTCTAAAAATAGATTTTGCTTCACCTGTACTGATTTTTGGACAGGCGATTAGGGAGTACACATTATACATGTAATAAACCAGCGGATTACATGCAATACTTTTAGAAATTCTATACAATTGTAAGAAGCAAACAAGTTGAAATGTGAAATTGAAAAGGACAACTAAACACTGTAGTGCTTAAGTGACATTTAAATTAAAATAAAAACGATGTGCTCTGGCCTCTACATCTTTACCTTGTAGATCTAAATAAAAAAAATCTAAAAAATACACTAGATCTATCAATTGCTGATGATTTTAACCAAAAATATTTTTAATGAGACATATCCAAGTGAAATAAAAATACAAATGACTTATATTTTATTGTCTATATGCCCACTATGATATAACACGAAGCAATTCTAAATAGCATTCTCACATGTATAATGTATTATGCTTGAAGTTTATTTGCATGGTTTTATTTTAGAAATATTTCGTTGACAGTATTTTTTTTCTATTTACATATCATTTCTTGGAATAAATCGATAAGGACACTGATTTACAAGTTTGACCAGGGTTTTTAGGCATAAATTTCATTCTGTATTTAAGTGCTTGAAAGTAGAAAATCTGAATTATATCAGTTTGGGACAAAAAAAATATATTGCTCTACAAATCTCGAACTTGTATGGAACAAATTTTCTCTGTTATATATTTTGTGTGTTTTTTTTTTTTTGTTTTTTTTTTGTTTGTTTGTTTTTTTTTTCTAAAAATAGCCTTAATGTCTCTCCGGTTGCATGTATGCAGCACTTTGATTTATTTTTTATTTTTATTTTGTTCGTTAGGAGCAGACGTTTACACTCGAAATCTCGATGTAGTTAGGAGTTCACGAGATGAGATCCGGAAGTTCGCCGAGGATGTGAAGGCCATTGGTGTACAATACATTGGTCTGTGCTGCGGGGCTTACCCAAGCTTAATCAGGGAGGTTGCAGAGGTTTATGGGAAGAATCCACCGGCATCCAAATATGCGATGGATCTTACGAAAGGTCCATACACGCTAGGTGCCAACCCGACAGCTGAAATGTTGAAACTGAGAAAGTATAAAACGGGGAAATAATTGTCAATGTAAAAGTAAAATCCCATGACAATAGGATTAAAATAATGACATTTCTTTCATAAAGAGTTAATGTATGCATTTTATTGCCATATATTATGTGCATGACATATATGTTGTTTTTCTAGAAAATAAAAGTAGCAATTAAATTACATCCTGGATAAATCCTGTTCGTAAGAAATTATTGGTCCTTTTTAAAGTTAAAAGTACATGTACATGCAAAAATGTTGCATTTGGAATATAGAAACAGTAAGCTGTCGTTATGAGCTTAGATGAAAGCTGTGTTTGTGTGTGCGTGAGTGTGTGCTCCGGTTTACCTACCCTGGCGAGGTCAGTGTGCCAACGTAGCCAGTGCACCTACACTGTGAGGGAGAAAAAAAGTGCTACCTCGGAACTTTAACCGTTCCTATTTCTTAGTCATATTGCATTGTATTAGGTTTAGGAGTCTTAAGATTGTATAGACATAAGTTTTAGTTTAGGTTTAGGAACGCATTCGGGTAAGTTTAGGGTAAGTGTTAAGGTAACAGTAAGAAGTCAGTTGAACAAAGAACAAAAATGTTAGTTGATATAGAAAGCATTTTTTTTTTCGAGAAAAAAGCTAACAAACTGTCTAAATAATTTACACTGAAATGGTAATTTGTACTTGTGTAACATTTGAAATTCATTCCTTCAACTTTCGATCAACATAGAAAACTCAATGAAAAATGTTTTAAAATATTTTGTAAATAGATAAATAATTAGAAGAAGAAAACGGTCATCAGTAAATTAGACTTTAAGCGTCAGGAGAAAAATCTGTTTTACAAAATCTTTAACAACTTTGAATCATACAAAATAACGATCAGTAGTCTAAATGAATGCATTTGCTTGTCGGACACATTATTTATATCTCTGTTCTTGTCAGTTAATCTACATAAAACATACGAACGAAGTCTCTCAGGAACTTGGAAATAAAGGAGTGATAATTCTTATAAAATAATGCTTTTTTACACGAATGTGTTTTACAAAGGAAGTATAAAGCTGGATGCCAGACAGTGCGTCAATGATTTGACACGATCTTAATTACCAGAAAAAGTTCATCTGACACTTAAATTCATCTTAGCCTAGCAGACTATGTATTCTGTTCTTAGCATTAACTTTTTCTTGGAATATTTATGATGTTTTGAGTTCACATGATGCATTTTAGAAATCACAATGGAAACACTTAAATAATTACCATTCTCTTAAACATCAATGTGTCTCAGACGTTTCGACGAGTGAAATTGAATATATCACATATATAAACCTTCTATTTTCATAACACTTAGTTTTATTTATTTATTTATTTATTTATTTATTTATTTATTTATTTATTCATTCATTCATTCATTCATTCATTTATTCATTTATTTATTTATTTATTCATTTATTTATTTAGCTAGAAATAATAAGCATTTAGTTAAAATTTATAGTAAAAAGAAATATTTTCATTCTTGTTTTATTTTTCCTTCGTTAATTCTATTCAATTTGTCAATATTGATTAAATGTTAAATAACTACATTTTGTACATGCTTTAAAGTAGACAGTGGGGATCTTAATCAAGACAGAAGCATTTTGTCTATAGCTATATAAAATTTCAAGTTCCATAATTTATACAAAAGTACTAAATTTATATAGTATAACGTAAAGTGCCTTAAAGTCGTCATTATCCCATTGTCGTCAGTTTTTTGTATTCTCGTTTTTTCTCGCTCGCGTTATCTGGAAGTACCAATGGCGGCTTATTTTGAAAGGTGAATATATTTTCTATTTAATTGATCTGTTCTACGTTGTATATGCAAATAACCACTCCTAAAATACGACGAGAAAAACCATATTTGTGTTTGATAGAGAAAGTAAGAGCTGTCGACGATCCAATGTCTTCAGCAGCCACAATGGGCGAATTAAAATTGTAAACAAGTGGCCATTTGTAAACAGTGGGAAGTAACTCTGTCCAATAGATCATATTTTTTGGTTTTGTATTTGTAGCTTCACTTCTAAGCAAAAACTACCTAGTCTATTAAAAGTAACCTTTAAATTTAATGACGACTTTAAGTACCAGTTGACGAGATTTGGGCATACCTTTTGAAAACTGTCCTCTTAACTTAAAGTTATTAATAATTGTTGATAAAGCATATAAAGGATGTTGAAATAACATGTGAATTAGGTTCTGTTTATGTAAAGCGTAAATATATATGTTTAAGATCATATGATATTTTGTATAATTTGTAACGTATAAAAATATAAATGTGAATTAATAAAAATCAAACTAAAACTTTAAATATATTATGCTAACCATTGCTAATCATGGAGCGATATGACTGAATTACAATTGTAATCACATGATTGTTAATAAGGCGCGAGCTAGTTTGAAGTCATAAGGCATAGCTCAATCGGTTAGAGCGCGAGACTTGTAATCTCGACATAGTGGGTTCGATTCCCGGACTTAAAATCGAGGTCCCGTTTATGAGTTTTTAACTTGGCACATTAAAGAACCAGGAGAAGCTTCTGGAATAGGGGCATCTTTCTGTATCTGACTCTTGCACTATGCTCCAAAATATAAAATGACTAATACTCTTCTGGAGGACTCGCCCATATGGGCAACCGGTGGCGAGTATAAATAAACTTAAATACACCCAGAAGTCAGTCAGCTGTCGTCATTTATTCAAGACAGATTGCATGGTACTGAATGGTGATTGGCCCCGACAAAATTAAACTTAACTAGTAAAAGCAGGACTTTTCCCAAATAATTTTGTGTAAATTTGTTAATGTCCTGGTTGCGCCACCACCAAAAAATTACACTGATTTTCTTTTCTCTTCAGGTATAATGAAGAAATTTGTCCTAACAAACATTCAAGTAGTTGGAATGCACCATTACGGTCGCCGGGAGTTATATCGACTGGGGTCATACATAGTTGATATCGAGGCTTACAACTCATATGATCCAACCGCCGTGGCAGTATATGATGGCCAACGTAAAGTCGGCAGTCGGAAGCGAGACGGCGGGAAGGCAATTCACGAGGTTATAACCGCCAATAAGTCTAAATCAAAATACTTCCTTAGACTTATTGAAGAACCTACATGACCTAAGGTGCTGTCAAGACGTGTTGTACCTCAACAAACATGTGCTATTGTTTTTAAAATACTTAAAACAGATATTGAGTGTATAACACAAATGGTAAATAAGCACAGCATAATATACGCAAAAGTAATGGAATTGCCTTCAAAACGTTCAACTTAAAATGTCAAGGTCATGGCTCTTCGTGTTCATGCTAGTTTTTCGTTACATGTAAATTTGTTCTTTAAAAGCATTTTATATTATTTGTGTTCACTATATTTTGCTGGCTGTATAACATTTAAATATATATATATAACAACATTTTAATAGTATTTGTTTTATATCAAACTACGTACATATCATTGTTAAGCTTTAAAATTTCTTTCATATTGTCAGAGTAATTTGCAATAAATGGCATTTTTTCTGGTTTTAGATTCAATAAATTTTTTAAGATTTAATCAGTTCTACAAGATTGTTTTTAAAACACCAGAAAATTTGACGACTTTAGGTTCCCATTGACGACATTTAGCTTCATGTGTTGACGACTTAAGGGTGCATTTGTCCTATGGTCGTCAGTGAGACACCTGTCTGGTTTCCCGTCTTGTATCATAAATGTTATTTATACAGCATGCGTTAATTTTATATTAAAATGGCCAGAAAAGATTCAAGTTTGATTTGATAACAACAGGGAACCAATGCATTAATATATTTCGTTGTGGCGGCGCGTAAAGTATTCAAAAGTGACGAGAATAGGGCACTTTACGTCATTTTTAAATTCATCGAAGAAAGCAACAGTTGTAAAATCTTTTTTATGAAATCTATTTCTTGACAACTACATTTCATTTTCTGAATAAAACGAAAAGGTATAAAATAAAAGGAAAATTATGTTGTAGTAGCTTTCTGAGGCTATGTAATTTTCTACTCGCAACGTTGGAAAATTGATATGTCGCTTGACCATCGTAGGCCTGAGTGGTTAATTTTCTCGCATCAAAACGACAAAACCGGTGTTAAATAGCCGATATACACCTCTCAGGCCGATGTTATTTTGATTCTAACACGATAAAATAAGGAAGATCACTAATGTTATTTTTTTCAAGCGGAAATAACTTCCGGTGCCGATTTTCGTATAACGCTGTTCGATTTTCGCACCCTACTGTTGCGAAGATATAGAAATTATTAAACAAAAGAAATAATAAGAAAAAACGTTATTTTATCAAGTTTTCAACAACAAAAAACTTACGTCGTATTGTGTTTACATCAGTGCCCCATTTATCATTCTTGTATGTATGAAATAACGTCAGCTTGTTTATGAATGAGTTGTTTACTTAAGATGACGTCATTACGCTGCTTACGGATTGGCGCCGTTTTGTCAAAATATTTATTAACTGATATGAATCAAATATGTGGCGTTAGTGTATGTGAGATATTATTTCGGTATTGTATGAAAAGAAAACATTATAAGAACTGAAAATATAAATAAAAATGCTTTTTATTGTTGCTTTAAAAGGCCTTGTAAACTATATAATCGAAGGTGAAAATATAACAGCCGCATATACAAGTAGTTCCTAACCAGTGTTTATTGGCAGTTTAACACCGTTTTTTTCCTTCTTTGTCCATAGTGACAAATCACGTGGAGTGTTAGAAACATCAAATCAACAGAACGTCGTTTGTCGTTATTTATAGATTTATTATGACGTCACGTTATTATTTCTGACGTTGTCGCTATGAACGTCGAATTTTAACCACGTCGCCATTGCAACGAGTCTTAGATACTCTTGATAGACGTGTTTTCCTCAGAACAATCTGAAATGCATGTCGATAGTTATTCCAAGAAACGAGGTAATCTAAAACTTATTTATAGCACTTTTACTTAAAACAATAAAGAGTGAATTTATTTTTGTTTTAATGTTTATTACGTAGATTTATGTTAATAAGTGAGCTCTTTGCTACTCCCTCTTGGATGCTATTTTTTTTCTTTTCTATAACCGTATTTAAGTTATTACAATTAGTCTAGTGAAGTTTTGATTACCTTTTCGAGTTAACTTAGTAATGATCATGATAATCCATGACGTAAATAGTTACAGAAACTAGATCTAAATTTAACATAATTATTTTACCATTTATGTATAATTTAACATGATAACCCTATAAATGAAAATGATTAACAGTGGATGATAAAAAAATAATAAAAATGATACCGCGGAAACTTAATATTACAATTTTTACCTTCAAGAAAAAACTTGTTCACCAATACACCAATTTGAAAACTTGAAGCTAAATGCATTTATAATAAAGCGGTTCGAATTCAACACACACAGTTTAGTTAATTTATTATTATTATTATTTTGCAGAATAGACCAATGACATCTGTTGAGACACAAGTCAGCGTGACGGACCCCGAGGGTATCGTGGGCGTCATTCGGTCCTTATACAGCCAGCTCCAGGAGCTGCAAGAATTCAACAAGTCGTTAATACAAGACCGACAAGATTTGGTACAGACGAGCGAAGATATTGGTACCAGGCTATCGGAACGGGTTACAGATTTGATGAACACGGCAGAGTCGATGGAGAGAGTGATAAGTGAAGATAGCGCTGCTATTACGTCTACGGATACCGAATTACAAGACCTTCTTAATGAGAAAGGTGATACCTTTACTTTATGGCATATCAACTGAAATCGACCTTGTTTTTATATGAATTGAAATCAATAATTGATCTTTTTATGGATGAGGTTACAATTTGTAGTTGTAACACATTTTTTTCTGAGTCATTTAATAGTCAGGGGTTTAAAAGCATAGTTTTTAAAATATTTTAGAGCTTTAAATTACATACGCATAAGAAGACTATGTTGTCAAAATTCTTACAGCATATCAACGATCTATAATCAAATGCAAAAATATCTTTAAAATCAAACTGCTATTGTTGTACATTGGTATTCATAATTAAAGTTGAGCGAACATGAGGTTTTCACTAGGAGTGTCACGTTTATCCGTTTAAACGGGTACCGATACGATCGGTTTTTTTTTAGCTGAAAACTGGTTAGGAAACTCAATAACCCCATTAACCCGTAACCTAGATTAGTATTAGACAAAGAGCCGCTTAAAAACATATATTTTAAAACATACCCTGAGTTTTTAATAACAAGATATTACATTTCAGTTGTTTTCTCCGATTGTACACTATCTGATCGTGTACGGTACTGTACTAACAGAAAATAGTTACTTTATAACCGAGCGTCTATTGTAATCATCGTTGAGTACAACAAAATACAAACAAAATGCCATATCTTATCTTAAAGAAAATCAGTTAATTAATGTTGAAAATCTAAGAACCTTATTACTACGGACGCGGTTATTAGGTCGCCGTTAAAGCAGCATGCCTCTAGTTCCATGCTTATTTTCATGAAGGTTTTTAAGAATGTATTTAAAGTAAAATATTATGCAGTGAACAAAGAAAATAATTTAGACATTGCAAACAGCACTTACGAGTACAATCCACCAAGGAGGTGAAAATAATAAAAGAAATTGCCCTTACTGCGTTAGTAACGCAGTAGAAATATGGTGATAAATACTGCAAAATCAGCCTCTTTAAATCGGACATAACATGTGAAGCATTACTTGAATCTCAAATCGTTTAACTTTTTCTAAAAACTTAATACATTTTCCCAAAGTTTAACTTTCTTGAAATTTTTGACTTATCCGGAGGCATGCAGCTTTAAACGTTGACAGTGACACGCCTAGTTTACCGACATCCCTAGTTTACCGACACCCCTTGTTTTCACAATCAGAAGTGATTATGTGTTTGTTTCCAGAGAGACTTGAAGCGAAGACTGGAGGTCAATTACATAAACTGACAGATAAAGACATCGCTAATGAAGAACGTATAACTGGTAAAATTTATTCTTTTGATTCTGATAGACAGCAAAGAAAAAAAAACAACAACAACCACCAGAATAACAATAAGTTATAAAAGTTGCTCGTATAATATTTTATATAGGTAAAGGGTCCGATTAGGCATTGCTTCAAAAATGTTAAAGCGGATAAAAACCGATCAAAGTGTGATCCTCGGAAGCATTAATCACAACAAAATTACATGAAAATTGCAGGCTCGCTCTGATTAAGTTAATAAGGGTCTGAGGGTTAATGAAAACTGCAACATCCCTTACGCCCCCCCCCCCAGCACCGGCTTAGGCGGTACTCAATTTTCAACACTTAAAAGTGTTGGAATCTATGATCCCGAAGGACCAGAAATATATAACAACACTCAAGTCTATTAATGGACCATTCATCATTCATAAGCTATGAACAGTTTACACAGAAAACGAATATTCTTTTTCCCGTCAAAGACATATCAAAATTTACGCACGGCCGCGTGGCGTCGGGAAAAACAACACGATTTTGCAATACATATACATAACTCAAATCATTTTCACATTTAAGGTAACATTTAAATGAAATGCTTTGAGTGTTTATTATTCTTTTTTTATTTATTTTTTTATTTATAATTATTTTGTCATTGAACATATCAGTGAATATTCATAGTTATTCTTGCCCTAAGTTTTCTTCTATTTTTATAGGATTTGTCGAAGAAGAGTTATCCCGAAAAATAGAAGAGTTATCTTTCCTACAAGACAGACTTGAAAATGCGCAAAAGGAGTACAAGTGTGAATGGGTAAAGAATTTTAACATCAGTTCAGAATTATCCAGCTATGGCTTCGTGATTTTCATTTGTGCCTAAATATTCTACATCTTTGCTCATACTTTCTTTTGAAGGGCGTAAAAAGACTTAGAGATGGAATATCATAACTTACATAACTATGGTGGCTGATTTGGTACACTTTGCGTGTGGTGTGTCGATAGCGACAACATAACCTATATCGTTCAAGCCTTTTCGTCTTGTGACTAGCGAAACGGCGCGTTGTCACACTGTCGTCTTGTCGTGCTGTCTCTAGCAAAGATCGCCAAGCGGCGCGTTGTCGCCCTATCGCTTTGCTTATAAGCCAATCCTTCGACGCACAAAAGCGTTCCAAATCAGCCACAATACATAACTGTGTTCGTTGATTATTTATATTAATGTCAGTGGACCTTAAACAAATATAATAGTCACAGTGACGTCAGCGTTCCGACAAAAAATGTATAGTGACCGTCTGAGCGGAAACTGTTACTTTTCTGTCATACCGCTTAAATTTACCGGCGTGTAACCGCAAGGAATATTTTCACGCAAACTGACTAACGACAGTTTGTTTTTATTATAAATGTTTTTGATTTTATTTTTTTTTTGTAATTTCAACAATATGATTTACACAATCGTTGAACTTTTACTATCATATTATAGTAAAGTGCGGTATGATACATGTATAAGGAATAGCACATAGTACTTCGAACCTCAGAGCATTAATCTTTCAATTCTTAAATTTCTAGGATGGATTGCAATCCGACATTTTGCAATATGAGGCAGAAAAATCCAAATATGAGGAAACAGTCAATCATCTGGAAGAACTACAACTGGCAAAGTTAGTAGGCGCACATTCAGGTACGGAAATTATTTAAAAACAACGGAAAAGATATTTGTTTTAATGTTCGGAGACTTATATTTTGAAAATGTGTCAGAGTTAAATCTTATACCCTCTGATGCACATTGCGTTGACAGCATTGCAGGCATTATAGATACATGTTCTCCAGTTACCGCCATGTCTGTAGGGAATATAGAAAAGCATGCTCGTTGATTGGTTCATGTTTTTCGGGGTTTACTTATTCATAATTGTAATGACAGTAAAGGGGATAACGATATTAAAGTAATATTAAGTTTTTTGTACATTGGTTACTTTTTTTCTGGGGTTTCATATTGTGACGACATGGAACGTGTTTTATTTTTTGCCTATAGATGCTTTTTGCTCATATACTGAGGTTTAATATTGTCGACAGGGAAGTTGTTGTTTCTTGCTGCCTATGATAGAAAAGAGATAACATTTAAAAGCACTTAGCAGTTTGATTAATACTCGCCGGCTACGTCCGCTCGCACAAATCAGATAATGTTTCGATGCTCTGTCGTTTATATAAATCCTAGGCTCTAGATATATATTCTTGCACGTTACGATCTTGTTTAACAAGTAAGATTTTGTTTGTTTGCTTGTTTTTGGTTTTTTCGTCATTTTATTGTAACATATTACGAATTTATAACATTGACCCCGTTAACTGCTGAAGTTTGTTAGCCATTAGTCTAGAGACTGGGTCAATCTGCCCGTATACTGGGGGGCAAAGGTCAATCACAATCTGTTCCAGCAGGTAAATCTATAATCTATAACACAAATATGAAACGAATTTTATTAACTGAAACAAAATGAATGAACCATCTTTAACACTGTAATAAAAATAATAATAATAAAAATAAAAAAAAATAAACTAAAAGTAATGGCGCTGGTTGAGTCTGGTATAAAAACCGTCCGGTTAGCTCAATAGTTAGAACGTTTGGTTGTTAATCTGGCGACCCGGTATCGATTACCGGACGGTGCAGGCCACTTTCGTTCTGATTGATCATAAAATCCGTGTTATGGTCATTCACACTGTACCTATACTCTGGCATGTACAAAATGTATGAGTTCCTTGCGAAAAAAGTGAATGTACTGGTAAACTGCTAGACAGTCTGCTCAGGAAAGATACGGTGGCTTCTGCTCAGAAAAGATACGGTGGCTAAACTATGCTCTGACTTTCCTGCCGTGATCCGAAGGGTTAACTACTACTTTCATTACTGCCAGTGAGTTTGGTATTCACATCACATCATCATTCGCGAATGGTTTAACTGTGGTGGGAGCAGTGGCCTAGTGGTACAGGTATCTGCCTCTCAACCCAGGGAGTATGGGTTTGAGCCCTAATCGAGTCGCAACTATGTTTCTTTGTAAGACACCAGTACTTGTTGGTTCCATAAAGCGGGTTCGAAAGTGATTAATATGAGTTGCAAAAACTTGTTTCTTAATCGAGCTAAAATAATATGTTTAAACCGATTGTAGTGGATCTGTAACAGAATGTCAATGTCAAACACATACTACAGGTGTTGTAGTGACATTAGTGCTTAGATTAATTATCAAAGAATCTTAATAGCCTTCAAACACAAAATAAATACTCACAAATACTAGTAGCAAACCAAATATTTCCGTTTTACAAATGACTAAACCTTATAATGAATCTATATTGAGTAAAGTCTTTATCTTGTTTCTTCTTCATTATCTACTTGAAGCGGCCCCAAAGGGTCTGCAAACCTATATATTCCTGCAGACAAGATGTTATAGTAGATTTAAATTAATTGACATATTTTGTCGCGATGAAATTCCAGATAACTTCAAACTCCTCACAGTGATAACCTCCCTTGGCAGATTTTACTGATCAAGGGGGCCACTGCCTAGGAGATTGTAGTGAATGACAATACAGAATACAAGAAAGCATTTCCAAAAATGCTTGGAATCGCCGTTCAGCCATGAATATAGAAATAATATTTCATTTTTAGCCAAATAACTTTTGCGTGTGGTCAACATATACAGCCAACCAAAATACTTGATTGCTCAGTTAATTTCTGAGATATTTTTTTTGTTCTGGGTCAGAATGAAAGAGATATCGCCCATTAGAAAAGATATCACAGTAACTAAATGCGTAGTACGATTATAGTTAGACTACATGCGATACTTTCTTGCGTAATTTACAATAGTTACTTGCTACACATTAAAAATGTCTATGAAAATTCTATATTCTTTACTCCGTCGACTGCTTTGTGATATTTTTTTTCTGAAACGGACTATAACTGACCTGCTATATTATAGGAATGGTGCATTAAAAACACTCATAGTATTAAACTCGTCCGGAAAAAAAGCATTTATGGAGTTTTTTTTCTAAAGAAAAAACAAAATATACTCTTATTAAGACTACATTATCTTATCACATGTATCAGAAATGGCATGTAGCAAAAATATTGCAATTTGCTGTGTCTATCCTGCACGAGACTAAAGACTGGTACTGAGTTGGTACATTGATAATGGTATTTTTCAGTTGTACGAATAAGTAACCCGACTAAACATGGCGGTTGGGCTTGTCCATTTATGCATCCCTCATTGAAGTTTTCTGACGTCCATTTTGTTATCATGTGATATTGAATTATTCGCTTTGATTGGCTAAAGGCAGGCGATGTACAGGTAGAAGTGTTCAAATCTTGCTTATCATATACATTGCCGTCCAGGAACGGCCATAATAAATAAAGCTCTGTCATAAACTCTTTTCTTATTTAGTTCAAACTTTCTTTATTTAACAATGCTTACAATTTGCATACTAGGTAATGAAACAACATTACCATAAGTTTAAGATTTCTACTGGAAGCTATCATCTTACACTGTCAGCGTCTGTCAGTTGAGGATATTTATTTATTTATTAATAATATGAGATAATTGCACATTTTAAATGTGACCTCAATGGGAAACTTATCAATCGCTGATTTGCTGATCTGTAAGACTCCTATCAGCTTGACCGGCAGGCGGCATAATGTCAATTTAGGTTTAAAGGCCTAGATCTCTGTCGTTGGACTAGATCTAGATAGTCTTGTATCACTTCACCAGGATATCTACAGCTATTTTCTGAATATAAAAAAATTAAAATTTAAAAAAAAGAAAGGAAAAAAAGAAAGAAAAATGAAGTCTCTACGTATGCATTGTAGGTGTTTTGCGTTAGATTAAGGTAAGAAGGGTAGATGTAGCTGAAAAAAAGGTATCTCTATTGAAAGGGAATTTTCTTGATAAGATCGTTAAATGACGTCACACGGATGAAGGTCTGCGTGACTGCATGGTCGCAACTTTTCGGCCTACTTCATACTTTTATAACGATCAAATTCAGCAGGTATGATAAGACTTGCAAATACATGTATGTAGTCTTACCAGTGTCATATTTGCGTACTGCTCAAGTTTAATCTTTTTTTTTCTTGCAGCCCATCACATTACCTTTTCTTTTTCAAGTAAAATAAGTCGAATATAGAAATAAAATGTGTATTGTCCATATTGTATGGAAGCATAAACCTGCCCTTTTAACCTGTGTCTTATGACTTTTGACTTGTGACTTAAGACTTTTGACTTGTGACTTAAGACTTTTGACTTGTGACTTTTGACTTGTCTGTTGAACATGATAATTTGGCGCGTTTTTGAATGAAATATGGCGGACAACGAGTTTTTACATAGAATATTTTTGTTCATTGAATTGTATCAGTTAATTTTAATAAAATCTACGTTTTAAGTACTTTTCTCGATTTGTTATAGATTGCGTTTTTTAATTTAAATGTTGTGACAGCGCGTCTGATCATCTTTCCTATAAAGTACCTATGAGAGTGTAACCTTTAGTTAACTATTGCTTAACAGATTCAGATTTATGTAAACTACTTAATTTCTTCACAATGTGCATTCCAAGCTTTAGATATTCATGTAATTAAGCTTTGGGTGTGTAATTTTTTCTTCAAACGTACACACTGCATACAACTTAATATTTGAAACAAAATTTATTTTACATGTAGTAACATAAGCTTATGCTATGCACCGTAATTCAATTTGTTATCGTTATTGTTTGTCATTGTTTGATCATCGTATTTAGTTTAATAATAATTGAACAACTTTTTGGATTTTATGTTGATAGTGAAATAGAGTAAATATCAGCAAAATCTTAGTAAAGAGGAGATAAAATGGTATATGTCCTTATTTTGGAAAGAAGGGAGGTGTAATTGTATGGGTCGTTGTAAGTCCAATAAAACGAGGGTAGTTCAAAAAGTGTATTAACTCGACTTTTTTCTGAAAAACTATTAGAGAATGAGATGTTATAAAAAGTTTTATTGCATTTGCTAGTCATTTATCTTCGTGCTTTACAACCATATAATGTTGCGAAAATCAATGCACGATGCATATCAGCAATTCATATCAGTAGTGGGTATGGTTTATATACTGGGCAAAAAATCGAATGGTTATTTGCAAGATTTAAGAAAGAAAAAATACGTATAGTCTTCAACAGAAAGATCATTCTTTAATGTTCAAAACAAATCTTTATTATATCTTTATTGGTTTTCCAGAAAATGGTCATGTGGCAATAGTTTTCGAACATCTCTTGCTTTGTTTATGTGTTCCTTCTATAGTTTAAAAAAAATGAAACAATTAGTTTCTGAAATAAAAGTGAAATCTTTGAGGTCTTTTTCTTTGAAACCAAAAACACCTTTGCATGTACCTCATTGAGGAAGTTGCATGCCAATGTGAGACATAATACTGCCAATGATGCCTTGCCAACGTGCCAACATGACACAAAAATGCACCACAATTTGACAACTCATGAATTGGCCTCTGAGACCTTTGCCATAGAAAGATGGACCTGGGCGTGCAGCACAATTTATATTGTAAATTTGGCTAAGCTATTTGAATATCCAATCATCATTTACTCCTTAAACAAAATGTTTTACAAAAATGTGACCTTTGACCTCTAAGTGTGACATTGACCTTGAAGCGAGGAAAATGTGTGATGTCAAAA